TAATGTCAATGATCTTCAAGTATCAAAAGCTGCCTAACTGATTCAAAATGTTTTGCTTTTGATGAAAAAAAAAAATTAAAGGGACTAGACTCCTTAATCAGTGTCAGATAGCAGTATAAACAAGCGCATTCCACAAAAGACCAATGAGCACTTATCAAATTGCAAAACTTTGAAATCTGAAAGCTACCTACAAGTAAAAAAAGATGACTAAAAGATGAACAGGAAACACAAAGGTAAGCTATAAAATGTAAAGGAAGAAACAATTCTCAGTGGTTTTCTCAACATTCTGAAACCCTATGCTAAAATGCTATTCTGAACCTTTGGTATAATTTCTAGACATTTCAAAATAATCTACTTAGCTCAGTAAACAGTGTCAAATTGTGTATCAAGACAGTATATATTTAAGCATGCTAGGTACTGATCTTAAATCCAAGTAGCCCAGGTTAACCTCTATCTCCCGGGTATTAGAATTATAGTTTTTATAATTTATTATAAATTATTGTATTTATTATTTTGAGACATTATTTCTGGTGTAGTCCTGGCTGTTCTAGAACTCATTTTGAAGATCAGGCCTGCCTCTGCCTCCCAGGTGGTAGAACTAAAGTGTGAGCTAGCTACCATGCCTGGCTCTACCCAGTACTTTTAATGGTTAATTGTAAATTAACATGACATTTTTTTAATAAATCTAGTATTGTTCCCTGTTATATTCTACTAGATATTTCTGTTAAAATTCAGCATTTATAGTAAACTTCATTGAGAACAAAGTTTTTTCTTAAAACTGAAAAACTGAAGCTCCTACAAACTTTGCATTCAGTGGACAGTACATACAAGTACATTTTCCAAGGGAGGTAATATGCAAGGCCTCTTAGCTGAGAAGAGATGAAACTGAGGTGCCAGATATAAAACCACTTTTAAGGTCTGTATAACCTCAAAGTGAATAAATAATGTGGAAATGTCCGTGACTCCTGTCATTAACTCCTGTGCTTATTTCTCTGCTTGTAATTTGCAGTTGCCCATCTCAATGGACACATTATAACTGACTTTTTAATCAATATTCCTTTTTCATTAATAATTTTTAAAAGAATCAAATGTAAGAAAAATTGAAGCATGAAAAATAACTAATATAAACTGTATTTCAACACTGGATATCAGGATAAAATTATAGCACTGTAAGAATAATTGATGCTTGGGTACAAAAGTGAATAGCTGAGTGTATCACATTAATTGTACACTTGCAAAAAGTTCAAGGTGGTGACCTCCCAAGAATATGGACCCTGCAAAGGTCTTTATCAGTACTGAGACAAAATTTGTGAATAGCTATTACAGTCTGACTTTGGCAGTGAGTCCCCCTTTTTATAATTTAAAATAACTGATCCATACAATATGTTTAAAACAAATTTATGTCAATATATGCACTAAAAAGGAAAAGTTATTTGATGAAATTCAAAAAGCTACTGTTCCATAAGCGGAAGTTTTTAAATACAAGTCTAACTCTAGTATGATTCCTCCAATGCAAGCTTGAAGAACAGAAAAATTAAGAACAAAGCAAGCAGCTCTCTACATTTGCCTCTAAACTGACTTTTCTAAGCACCTACCTGTCTCTTCATGCTTAAAAGAGGAATCAAATTCTTTTAATAAACTCACAATCTACTCAAAAGAAACATAACGAGTATGGTGGCATTCACCTTTTTAACCCAAGCAATCAGGAGGTAGAGATAGGAAGACCTGGAGGCCATCAGGGTCTATGTACATTCCTGACCAGCCTGACTAAAACAAAAACAGGGAGGGATAGCAGGGTAAAAAAAAAACTTCAAGTATCAAAACCTCAAGACTTGAAGTTAAAAGCAAAGTAAGCCAAAACTGTCTCAAAAGAGGAAAGGAAGTTAAGACTTATTCACGAGTCCTGAAGGAGGTTGGGGAGTCTGAACCAGAATGGCTTACATAAAATCAAACTCACGAAGTGTCTCTAACATTATTAGAAAAAACTCCTACTATCAAACAGAGCAAGCGTAAAATAGATATCTTCCGTCATGAGTGCTTATAGGCCATGAAACATTTCTCAAAGGTTAAAAAGAGCCAAGCATGGTGACACACACCTTTAATCCTACCACTCAGGAGGCAGAAACAGGTAGACCTCATTATGAGGGCAGCCTCATCCACAGAGTTCCAGAGCAGCCAGGGCTACAGAGAACCTTGTCCTGAAAAACAAAAACAACAACAAAAACAGAAAAAGAGATTCAAGTTACCACTAGAATTACAAACGTTGGAAGTGGGCTGGATATAGGAAGACTTTCATTTCATAGCCTGTGGTATTTAACTGCTTTCCATTTAAGTTTTAAGATAATCAACGAGGCTAGGTGTAGAGTGAAGGCTTCATATATGTAGGGTCCTGCATTATTCTACCACAATACCAAAAGAAACAGAATTCAAGTTCAAGTGTCAGCTACAAACACAATGAACATGAACCACCACCTTTCCTCAAAACTAAAAACTTTTTCATGATCTAACCTTAACCTATAAATTGGTAGATGAAAAACCTATTGATGTAGATGTAGCTATTTTTTACCAAGTTAATTCACAAAGTAGTGTAAATACTGTTGAAAATCAGTGATTTCAAAACATTATTTTCTCATTCACCAATTGCTGCATAAAAAAACTTTACAGGGATGACTAAAAAGCCTTCAAAACCTGGTGATATCACTGCTTAATAATAAACAACCATCAAGGATTTTCTGTATCATGCTCTTAAACTGGAACCTACCATGAAGAAAATTCAATATTCTGGATTTCCATGATGTCACTTCTAAGGATAATTTTTTTCGTTTTCTCTCCAATTTGAAATAAAAGAATTATAAACAATGACTTTATACAGCTATTTTAAGATAGAACTAAATCATATATGGATCTGCATCCTTCAAAGACAGTTATTTCTTATTTTTTTATGTCTGACAATTTTAACATGAATCTTCCTAATTTTAGTTTACCAGAATGGCAGCATTGTGTTAGCATTTAAAGAGGTTCTGTATGTCTTTTTCTGAATAATACAGTAAGGTAGCTAGCTGACTACCAACTGAAAAGGGTTTAAGATTGTCTTTAGCTGTTTGCATAGCACCATAACTCAAGATTCCCTGCCCTCAAGGAGCTTCCATTCTAAAAGGAGGGGGGAAAATTAACTAGGTAACATAAGCAAACTGATCGAAAAGCAGTAAGCCACAGAAAACTAAATGATCACAGTATCTTCTCTGTGCACCCTTTCCTTGATGCTCCTAAATTCAAAATGGATTTTCAGAAACTCATTATGTCCACTAGAATTTACTGTAATTTTATAAAAAATAAATGTGAACCCAAGAAGGAGGGTAAAATCTAAAAGAACTGTGCTTGGCCTTAATAATTCTGAAGCACTTCCAAAAAATAAACTTCCTAACATGACTTTTATTATTTCAAGAGAAAAGGGCAAAATAAACTATTTTTTTCCAAAACTACTACACTGTACTACATACACAGACTGTAGAACACAAGTTAAAAGTATCATGTGCCAATCTATACATCTTACCATATTGCTGTTTTTGTTCTCAGAGGCATTCAAAATAAAGAGAACAAGTACTGCATAAGCTTTTCTAATTCTTTATGGCATATTAAGTTAAAGCAATTACAGGTGTAGCGCCTACCTCTTCTAGTTTCTGCCTCAACGAGTAGCTGGAATTTTAAAGATATACCACCAGGTATAGCTGACTCTTCTATAAACAATATAAATACTAATACTCTATAGGTTTTAAATAATGTGCATGCCTTCTGGTTTGGCAAATTTCTCCTTCAAATAGTATATAGTACCTATGTTTCATAAATGACTACTCAGATTTCATTTTCAAGTTAATGTCAGGACTTCTCTGGGATACAATGAGCAATCTGTAACTTTTACATAAATCGAATGTAAATAAACCTTCTAATGTTAATAAACCTTATTTTACTCTGCAATCTGTGGTAATAGCCTGCCTACCAAATCCTTTTGACCCACTTCATCACAAAAGTAAAATGGTCTCTACTCCAAGCTGAAATTTCATCACACTAATCCTTTCAGAAGTTTAAGAAAATTATATGTAACCTTTATAATTACCAAATTAGATACCAAGTTTAAGTTAAAATAAGTCAAATAAGTCACTTAAGTTTGTAAAAACTCACTTGTATAGTGACCCTGTTATCATAACTAAATTTTGTCAGAAATACATCTTAGAAAGCTCTAATATTTGAAGACACTAATCTCCAAATCACTTCCAAAGTGATTTATCTTGACTTTTCAAATTCTTGTTTGTTGACTTGTTTAATATTCTCACTAATCAATACCCATTTGGCTAGTTAGGACAGAAACTAATAACTTTAAATCAAGTAATGAAGTTAAGGTTCTTAAAGTGTTTCAAACCACTCCTATCTCTTCCCTAACCACCTCCAAAAGTAAGTCTAGCCTGAGCTAGGAACCAGAAAACGCTGAATATACTTACAGGTTCTGCACGTGGCCACTAACTCTGCCCTATTGCATGTTAGAGTTCATTCACATAAACTCATTTGTAGTAATCTAAATGCAAATTTTATCAAGAGACCATTTTCTTCTTCCCCTCTCCTGAATTACTTGGTACTTCAATCTCATTTACAAATCTTCAAAGAAATTTTTATTTGCCAGAAATAAAACTGGAGAATAGAAGAACACTACATGGTGAAGCACGTTCCCAAAGAAGCAAATTATCATGGAATTCATAAGTCTATTAGCAAATATATGATCATGTATTTCCAAAATAAAATTAAATGAAGACCAGCCGAAAACATTTATTCTATATATCTCCCAGTCACGTGGATTGGAATTTTTGTCAGAAAATTTGTTTTCACCATTTGCTAGTTACTCTGAATGTATTCTATAGTGCTCTAAAGATTCCAAGTGTCTATTTAAAAGCTGTTGAGTGAAAAATGATGAAATGGAGAACACTCACAATAATTCTTGGACTCCTGGAGATCCTAAGACATGCTACAAAAATAGGTCTTTATTCTTAGGAAAATATAGTCAGAGCTAGCTTCCTTATGCTATACATAAAATCTTAACATCAGAGGCAGTACAGATAGTACAGATAGTTTTGAACTGATCTCCAAACAAGCACAAACCCACTACGTTGGGAAAAAAAACAGGAAATTTGAGGTTTTTGGCGAAAGACAGTACTTCACACATCTAATCCAAATCAAAGAGCCTGCAGACAGCTTTCAGTGAGACAAAAGGAGTGAAATAAATATAAATTCTATGGATAAATAAATGTAAAAGAATTTACATTAATCTAAAAACTAATTTAATTAAATTCTACTTGGGTACAAGCTTTTGTTTCTCGATGTCAGACTTCTAAATGTTTACCAGACTACTGTTAATATTAAAAACTTGGTCTTTGACCCAGAGTAATACTGATTTGCATTTACAAAAGTTTGTCCAACTGAATGCTTCTGGTCCTGAAAAACATTTTAGGTACATTATTGAAGGCAGACTGTGGTGCTAATATGGTTTATGTTTTAAGAACTTTTAAAAAGTGACAGACCCCAAAAGTCCATCTATAAATTGGCTCAGTTTTTTAAAAAATGCCTGTGTGAGCCTTGGTTCATTATTAGCATCTTTAGTGGCATGCCCTACTGAGTGGTAAGATTACTAGTGAATACTACACCATAAAAACATCCCAAGAAGTCTGTTTATGTATTGTTAAAGTAAGTTGTTTATTCATTAACTTTGTACCCACCACTGAATTCCTGTTTATTGTATTTATAAGTGGGGAGAAAACAGTAATGGAGGGTAATATTGGAGTTTTTAGGAACCTGAGCAACCATTTACTCTAGGATTGACTACCGTTTCTTAATGCATGAAGCCCTTCTATATTTTAATTTCTCCCCATCATATAGTGACATAACATTGTGTTTTTGTTGTTTCTGACCAAGTAATTTCAAAAACCTGTACTAAAGATAATTTTCCCATGTAGTTTGTTGTTCATCCTAATACTAAATACATCTTTCCAAATATCTTATATACAATTATATAGCCCAGATCACCCCAATCCGTTTGTGGTATTCCTAATCTATCATGAGAAAACGTGTATACTTTAGTCAGATATGCATCAATCAGTAAAAGTTTAACAGTAATCAATAAAAAGTTTCTCATGGTGTTAAGTGCCATTGTGAATATGTGATTCCTTTTGTGATTCAGTTCTCCATTTATAACGTGATTCAATTTGAATGACTAAAAATCTTGCACAAAAAAACATGCTTGGGAAGAATATAATTACACAATTTTCTCATAAAGTAACTTCCTGAGAACTGATTAACTATTTATGAACACTTTTGATTGCCAAGTAGTCTGCAGAAACAAAACCTTGCATCTGTTTTGGTTAGGTAACTTTTAACAATCAGAATTCTTTAAGGATATATTTTTACCACAAGGAAGGGACTTGACTATTAAAGATCCTTTCCTTGACAATATTTACAAAATTTAACATCTCATCTGTCCATTCTTTGAAGCTGTCAAAGCCAAGAACCCAAAACAAATCACAAATGCAATAACCTACATTATTTAACATTCCCCTTTTTAACATGTTGACATTTTTACTAAAGGATTAGTTATTTTCGCATTTCCATTTCTCATATCCATGACATTCCATATAAATTGCATTATTGCTTTATAGGCCACACAACATTCAAAATTATGTTTATATGCATTGCCTGTTTTTCTTGACTTCTGGTAAAGTGTTTGATACTGATTTTTCTACAGAAATTTAAGTTTGAAAATACCACAGTTAGTATTTCTTCTCAGAACTTAATTGTTCACATCACTAATCACTACATGCATATTTAGCTCTGATTATATTGCTCAAAAACTGCACCCATTATCAGAACAGTGCAAATTATATTTAATTTTAAAAGTAATCATAATGGCTTGAATTCAAAGTCATTAAAATGAACACTGTCAAGTACTTTCACTTGAGTCTACATTTCATTACCACTGTTTACATTACCCTTAAATATAACCATCAATTCTTCACAATTTCCTTTGAATCATAAGGTTTTGTCCCATGTCCCCAAACTAAAAACCCAAGTCTTAAAAACCCAGAGTTCCATACTTTAATGTTTTCTGAAAGAACACATTTGTGAATTCACAAAAGTGTTCATCTTTCAACTTTGACAATGCAGTTAAGTTAAACAAACCTGTTCTAACATCCCAACAAATAAATCCAGGAATTAACTAAAAGACCTTGACAGTGTCCTTTAAAAATGGTATGACAGTTAAGTGCCAATAGGCATGGCAATGACCTCTTAGATAGGATCATTTTATTCCTTGGACATGGGAAGTGCCAGCACCAAGGATTACACTGAGATTTGATTTTGCTGAAGGCTACAATTAACTGACCCACTTTCCACGACCTAGTATGCTCACTATGTTAGAATGAAATGTACATGTTTTGTGTAGCCCTCAAACTTACACTAAGATTTGAGAGATGTACTTTTAAAAAGCACAGGGTAATATATAAAATCAGTGGAAGAAAGTTTCATTAAGCACCAGGAACAAATTTTTGTCACCCCATACTCATTTTGTAGGTAAGTTTCAGTAACCGGCAAGGCACATTTACATATATTCCAATGAATACTTATTGACAAATTTTAAATTACACTCTATGCCCCAGCTATCCCAGTAACTGACATACAACATACTAAAATGGTTTATTAAGGTAACAAAAAAAGAAAGGAAAAAAAAAGCCAATTAATGGGAAACATACAGGCTATTGGCAACCACTATTCTAAAATTATGTAAGTACAAATGAACATACTGAAATGTGTGCAATTCTAAGTTTTTAAACCAGAAGATTTTCTATACTAACACACATTTATATTAATGACACATAAAAAAAATAAAAACTTTATTACAAAAATAAGTTACACTCGCCTCCAGCTTACAGTATAAAACAATTTTATTTGCAGGAATGCAAAATGATTGTTTGCCATGAGCATTTTGAACATATGACATGTCTAATTTTCTTGTTAAATTTGCATTTACTGGGGAACTGGTGTGTATAAAACCTTAATTAGGTATAAGCTCTGATCTTCATCGTGGTGCCTACTGGGTATGTGATATAACTGCAGTATCCCTTTGGGGAAGGGGAGAAGGTATTTCTTTACACCAAGTCCTACTTAAACTATAATTTTACTTTTGACTTTAAGCTATCAACTTAGGACTTGGCAAAAAATTTTTTTTGAGGGTGATTCAATAGAGGATGCTTCACCACTGAACACTCACTGTCATCAAGGTGCTTTAGAAAATTAAAAACATAGCACAAATGATTGTACTCTATTCTACAAGTTATCATGACCTGCATAAGAAATGGAAAGCTGATTCACATTTTTATAGTGATCAGCAGTAACAAATGCACTAATGAAACATACCTTTTACCTAAAAAGCTAAACTACAGCCATATACTAATTTCTATGATTTATGAAAAAACTTCAAAATATCCAAATGTCAGGCTTTGCTGTACAATTGTCAGTTTTAGTCTGACTTTTTATAAAGGGACACTGCAGTATTTAGTACAAGTTCGGATGCACTTTTTTTTTGAACATCTGATGTCTTACAAAAGTAACATCTTGCTAAACTATTATACATCCAAATAACTACAATATCTGAAGAAGCAAGGCTGCTTTTTCAGCCACAAAATACGACAAAAGCAAGGCCTGTTATGATGGTCATGAGGAAGTCTTACAAGCCTCTGAAACTAAAGGCAACTAAGAATGTTACATTTGGTATATTAAAATCTTACCCTCATATCATATTTAACAAGCCTTGCTTTTATCTACAAAGATTTTCTATATACAGTACAGACAGGGTATAGTTCAATCCTCTGCTACTGAGGTAGTTAACCAACCCTTTAAAAAAGGTTCTGAAAAGAACCACTATCTGGAATGCCTGACTAACCAGCTCTGATGATTACACCTGAAACTGCATCTGAACACAATTCAAAAGTGATTACTATAAAAAAAGATATAGACAATCATGATTAACCTTGGTGAGCAGAAATAAAAATTTAAGGGTACCAACAGTGGCATCTGTAATCACTGCAATAAAATTTAAATGCACAAATTCAAGAGAATATTTCAGAATACCACTGCTGAGATCCTTAATTTAAAAAAGAGGGGAAAAATCTACTTAGAGCAGATTTTTTAAAGAGAAGAACTTTATTCTTTATTAAGATACCATGCTAGAAGTTATGAAGGATTTTTGTTGGAACACATTTGGAAAATAGAGTAGCTTTAGTTTAATAACTTGCACTGCAGAGAAAATTGTTAAAGAAATTCATATCAAAGTCCAAGTATTAGTTCAATGTCC